CTCACCACCTTGTTTGAATTAAATGGACATCTACCGGTGTGGTTTAATTTTCTCTACGTCTGCTTGCATTCAGCGAGTCTGAAACTCGTGCAACGGAAGTGAGCTCTGATTGGTTAAATTCGTCATCGCGACACTACGTGACAAAGCTCGCAGCACCTGCGTGGAATAGACAACGCCTGAAACCTGATTTGACGTTTGTTTATGTAAGGTCAACAAGGTCTAGATGTTGTTTGTTTGTTGTTTAACGCCGCACTCAGCAACATCACAGCCGTATGACGGCGGTTTGTAAAAAATCGAATCTGGACCAGACAATCCAGTGATTGAAATCATACGCATCGATCCACGGTACTGGGATACGATGACATGCATCAACCAAGTCAGCGAGCCTGACAACCTGATCCCGTTAGTCGCCTCTTGCGACAAGCATTGTCGCCATTTACAGCTAGCATGGGTTGCTGAAGACCAATACTGACCCGGAATCTTCAAGGGACTTGAGATGTTGTAATGAGGTGCATAGCCTTGTGAAAACTGACGGTCTATTTAGGTTGATAAAGAACCTATTGATATTTCACATGAACATTTCTTTACAATAAAGGTTTTCTACTTTGCAATAATTATTTTCTACACATAGAAGAATTAGCCTGATAAATACGGCATAACGCATGTGATTCTTTGGGTTTAGTGAAAAGCTACGAAAGATTGTCGGATAAAATAATTCAAACATCCCTGCGTACCTTATTTTCTCTATAAAACGCCCGGGCGTATATATCTTCCATGAACTCTTTACTTCCGGTTTTAAATCAAAAATATAATAATGGGTAGAATTCCGTGCATTTTCGAGGTTCGGCGTTTAATAGGGGAAATTTGGCATTTATAGCAATATATACATATCATCCCAAGCTGGAGCAATTATTAAATGACGGTTCCCTTGAACCTATCGGTAACGGGCGCCCCGGACGTCCTGGGAACTGCACTTCAAGGGTATAGGAGTATCCCTTGGGCGTGGCAGACCCATGTGGGACGGTTCGGCCTGATTGTTTCATGGTTAGCACAATGGCCATGTTGGGTTAAAATGCCATAAGTTATTTACTACACGTAAACTTTCCATTTGGCGCTAGATTATTTTTCCATAGGAATCGCCACAAAACACGTGAACTTTCTTGGCTATATTGTGCAGCCTAAATGTTCACTAACTATGATGAAGAATGATTGTAAGGATTCAAATATGCATCATATGTTACTACATTAGCATAACAGAGTAGCCATCTCTCTTCAATTCAAGGTATATCTAAATATTGTATCTAAAAGTTTGTCAAGTTGACACTTCCTCACAAAAAAGGTTTACCTGTTATATTGTCTTGAATTATACATACAAATTTGTACTACCTCATGTGTCAATAAATTGTGTTTAAGTGTATTTGTTTTTTCCAACATTTTAAATACTAATTTTGTGAAAAATGGCATGATTATTAGTAATGTGAGCATATGTGGGTCAATCATTGTTATTTTCTGCATGTATTGCAGTGTCTGTAGCCCTATGTCTATGTACCTAACAACTGACTGATTGTGCTTTAATATATTTCACAGGTTATCCCAAGCTACTAACCTCTGGTGGAGATGTTTGAATTACCTTGCATAGACAACTGTGGCATAAGAAAGGTAAGTCCGTAGCCCTGTAGTGCCCCTATTTCACTACCTGGTATTTTGACTGAACAGTTCAGTTTGTAACTAAACGGAAGGAGATATTTCATGTAATATGTAAACCTACACTAATCTGACTCTTTCCTTTACTTTATTCAATTGGTTTTCAGATTTTCAGATGTTTAGATTTTGCTTTATAACTGAGTAGTTTCCAAAAGTTGTCTTTGTGAATTTAACATTAGATTGGCTTTTTTTTTATCTTAATACAATTCTTCTTTTCACCATTTAGACACTTTGCAAAATGTAGTGTCAGTAACATTAATTTATTTCTTATAGAATTTCAGCAAAGAGTTAAAGACTGTTGTGTTCAATCTCTTTTTTCAAAGTTAAACGCATTCAAATTTAGATTTTTACTCCACTATAAAGTCAACTTTCACAATTGAACCATATTTGCTTCATATACACCAAAGAGACCAAAGAAGATATTTAAGATTATTGAGGATAGGAGAATTTCAAATTGTGAAAAATATAGATAGGTGGAAGCATGTACCTAGAAACCTTAGATTTTGTCCTTTTTGTAAAAATATTATGGAAGATGAGTTACATTTTTTGTGTTAGTATGCCCAACTTATGATATTTCCCAACAGTAACTTAAAAATGAATATTCTCTCAGAACTTTGAAACAAACTTCTAACATTAAAACCTTGTCATTATGTGCTAAATTAAAGATGCCCTATCTTTATGTTCATTATTTTAATTCTAATTTGTACTTCTGTACCTCTTGTTATTGTACCACCACTTTGTATATAATACATGTATCTATAGTGTACTTGGGCCTGTGGCCTTTATACTGAAATAAACTCAACTTAATACAGGGCAAGTTAGTCAGTTGCCTAGGTACATGTACTTATCCTTGCACTCATTGGTTTACAAGTTTGTCAAATACTACTATCTAGAAGTTTTGAAAGGATTTGATAAAACTTACCAGATATTTATTACCAGGTATTTTCAGAAGAGAAACTGCTACTTTCAGTTTATTTACGCCATTTTCAATCATGCTTTGTCTGCTTTCTCAGAGAGAAAAAAGGTTGTTTACTTTGCAATAGACCCTCTTGTGCCCAGTCAAAAGAACACATACCTGCCCTCATTGTCTTGTTGAGTAAACTCTATTTCAAGAGACATTTTATATTTCTTCAGTGTTATATAGCACTTTACAGTGATCGTAGCCCATGGGGTGTTTATGATGAGTTTGAGACAAAACTGGGCGAAAATAAGAAAAACCCTTTTCAGGCATAAGTGTTAATATAGACATTTATTTTCTGACACCACTCAGCACTTTCATTGCACGATTTTTCAACAAAAGTGCAACAGAAATGTGACCCCTGATTGTGACCCGGCCGACAGAATAATTCAATGACAAAAGCCATACCTGGTATAACAGAAGACAGAGGGACACGCCCTAAAAGAAAGGTGAAGTAACAACTCAACTAAATGTCAATATCGGGTGTGACCACCATTTGCGTTGATACAGTGGAGGCAGCAGCAGGGCATTGAAGACAGGAGATAATCGAAAACATCATGGGGAATGTTGTTCCAAATGTCACCCAATGATTGATCCAACTAGCGTTACCGGGTCTTTCTGATCCTGTCGATCTCATCACGATATATTCTATGGGGGATGATGTCTGGAGAAACAGCCGGCCATGGCAGTATACAGCAATGTTATGCTGCCTCAAAAAGTCTCTTATAACACGCGCAACGTTGGGGTGGGCATTATCCTGCTGCAACGTGACGTTACGTCCCTCCATTTGCACAACGGGTAGAACGATGCCCCGGTAGCGTGCGCCATTCAAATTGCCATCAACAATGATGAGTTGTGTTCTCCACTGAGTTGCGATGCCATCCATACCATTACACTTCCACCCATAAACTGAGTGATTGAGTTTGTTGTTACGCCGCTTTTACCACTATTCCATCAATATCACAACTGGGGACACCAGAAATGGGCTTCACACATTGTTACCATGTTGGGAATCGAACCGGGTCTTTGGCGTGACAAGCGAACGATTTAACCACTGGGCTACCCGACCGCCCCTGCTTCCATCTGACAATCCACCGATTGCTAGTCCAGACTGATGCCGATTTATAGTGCTATCTCACTGAGGTGCCATGGCGCAGTTTAACATGAATTCTCCAGTCAGTGTACCGACTCCGAGCCAACCAGTTCTTATTTTAGCCCCTTAATGCCGAGCGCCAGACAGGGTAACAAGAAGTACCGTCTTTTGGTATGACACGGCTGGGGATCAAACCCCGGACTTAGATGCTCAACCACTACCATGGATCCTATTAATAACAGAAAGAGGACTATTTTGTGCAGATTGATAAGTTCATTGGTTGACTGCACCAGGAACAGCTGAAATAATAGATTGGTGAAAATGGTAGCTGATATATTTGAGCTGTCAAGCCTGTCACCGAGAACACATTTTTTTTTAAAGTTTTAGAAAATGAAAAAAACATAACCTGATAGACAGTTATCACATATATCTACTATATGTCATCTAATTCTTGCTTATGACCCGTTTCTTCGATCCGATTCACCCTATTAACTACAGGAAGTGTTTGCACTGACAAGTATCAAAAGACGATGTTATTTTGGTTCTAAAGGATATTAATAGAGCTCACTGCAACATGAGTTAAGTGTGAGACAGACATAGCTATCTTGGCTTGTCATTTGTGAGTTGTCTAGTTTAAGCATTGTCTGGAATCTCGTGAGAAAGGGAAATAGCACACCACAATCATGCTTTCTGTTCTATTGCTGCAAGATCTGGCTCCAAATGTAAGCTGCAACAATTTTAAAGCAATTATGGAACAACATTTTTGTAATAACCAAGGTATATCGGGAGCACAGAATCAATTTTGCTTAAGCAAATAGGTGTTTACACCTTGAAAACAGGCGGAATTTTGCAGAAATGTTTCAGATTTTTCTTGTGAAAACAATTTGGTATGCAGATCTGAGCTTATTCCCCTATTTTTTAATCAATAGAATGAAAACTACTACTAGCATGACACAATCAACATATGGCCAATTCAGTTGTTAACCAGACATTTGACAAAAGTTAATGATATAAAGATTAAACCATATCTGCATCAGTGCACAGTACAAACAAAACACATACCTGTTAACAAAAAAGTTTGATGAATTTTTATTGTATTCCAACCAATGAATGTAGGAAAGAATATCTAATCTGAAATGCTCCTAAATATTCAATATCTACGTGGGTGTTGCCTGAAAACATCCTACAGCCATATAAGACCACTTGACTTTCAGTCAGGTGAGCTAAAAAATAAGAAGAGTCTTATTAACTTGTTGGCATTCTTTTAATTTTATTTTGTTTACATCTGCAGCAAACTGCACAAGTAATACTTGTACATGCTATACACTTCAATCGGTACTAAACTTAACATTGAAATCTGGTTACAAAAACCAGAAATAAGTAGAGCAGCCCGAGGAATTCTTAAATATGACAGCACTAGACATGTTAGAAGCAACCACGATTTGTGACCTCTGCTCTGACCCACTGTGGCCGTGACCGGACTCCGGCACATACACTACATCGTGGCGGTGGCTACTGGCGACATGCAACATTCATAGCAGCACTAACATTGGCAGCATTGCTTTAACAACTAAGGAGAGATTTTCCACAGCTCTTATTCAATCTTAACAATTTTTGGCTTCCCTAACACACATACCTGATTCAAGGTACCTGCATAAGGATATATGCAAATGAAATTCTTAAACCTTTGGTGAATAATTCTGTAGAAGGATACACAAGTGTTGTGCATTGTGTTTTAGATGAAGAATGCTTCAGAAACATGAGAAATTCAGATTTTGCTGTAAGTAACAAACTTACTCAGGCTCAAACAAGATGCATTTCAGTTTGAAACATGCCAAAACGTGGGCAGTCAGTAAAAGGATGCCTAAATCAAGAGACATTTTTAAGACCTTAAACATCGTGAGAATGAAAGGATTCTTTTCCAGTTAGACAATCTCATTCTTGCTTCTGTTGCTATGATAATGCAATCGATCTCAATATTGCACTTTATGAGAAGACATTTCAACATATATTACATTCACCTAAATAATGACTTTTTTCGGATCATAATCACACTATTATCCAACTGTTTTCAATACAAAAAATTCTTAGGTTTTCAAAAACAATAACATGAAACAAGTGCCTTAGCATAAACAAAATGTGAAATGCTTGCTGTTTAATGTATCAGCACAAATGCTGTAGTGTTGAGATTTATTTCCTTGTGATATGAGGATTATCATTTCATGATTCCAATGCTCACAAAATGCAACATTTCAACATCAGACCAACAAAATCTTCTTGGAAGAAGTGGCATCATGATTTCTCCAACATTTCTGATCATAAATGCGTCTGTGGAAAAACAATTAAACATGTAACATGGTGGCAGTCTTGAAAAGGATGTAACATGAAACTTAACAAATTGGTCCTACTACCACCAAGTGGTAAGACAGACAAAAGCAGCAGCAGCACAGGGACGCCAGGAGTCCGAGTCGGTCGGCCGGCCGGGGAAGCATGGCACAACTGTGGTGGCAGAAACTGCCAAACAGCAGAAAATATACTCTGTACAAGAATCTAATTTCACCTAGTGATCCTTTCACAATATAAAAAGTCTTTACACAAAATATACTGAACTACACAAGTGAGCCAACTGACAAATGAAGCCAAAATGTACAACACTAGATGAAATGCATGACATGAACATATATACAGTATGTATGTTTGCTAGAGATGGCTGTGTGGGTAAATGTGTGTATGACAGATGTATGTATGTACATGTATGTTGTGCATGTAGCAATGAGTTATGTACACCAATTTACACAGCTTGTTGTCCACAACCCCTGCTTCTGTCCTGACAGTTCTAGTAGCACCAGCGAACACAGAACCACCACAAAATACGCTCACAAGCACATTGCCCTATATCAAGATCACATCACATTTGTCTGTAGAACAGATTGCTATCAGTAGCATCAGTAGTGGTTTGAGGAGCTGGGGTAGCTGGAAACTGGACTACGGTAGCCTTTGTCTTTGTTGTTAGTTGTCTGCTGAATGTGTGCAGGGAAAGGAGGAGGCTTTGGATGTGAACTTGATGCCATGTTCCATGATGGTGGAGGGGAGTGCACAGGCTTGACATGCAGGCCATGATTGTACTCAAATTTCTGTCCAATGGGATTTTGTGGCTTGGCCTGAACTTGAGCAACATATTGCACTGATTGTTGCTGGCCAGGTGGAGTTGGTGGAGGCTGGGTCTGGGGTGCAGCAGTGTACCCTGAACTCTTCGAGGTGCCCGAGAAGGCAGCCGGCGACACAACGAGGTTGGTGGCAGGTGCCAGGTAGGGTTTACTGGCTGATGAGATTGGTTGATGGTAGCCAGCAGGGGGTGGTGGAACAGAGGTTGGGACCTGCTGGGTCACTGATGGCAGCACAGGAGCTGGAACTGGTGCAGGTTGACCCAAGGGTGGAGTACCATTTAACACTGAAATACAAATTGCAAAACATATTAACAACTTTCTTTAAGCTTTAACGTGAGTTATTGCATTAAGGAACAATTGTCATTCTCATCTGATAATATTCTTCATGCATTTATGTTTAACAATCACGACAAATTCAGTAAATATTCTGGTGTACAAAGCCAGATCAGTAGTGAGTCCAGTGACTTACTTTGATAGTTCCTATGAGCTGGATGGGCTGGCCCATTGGTCCCTGGAACAGGGGAGACAACCCTTGCTGGTGGTCCAGTCTGCACAGGCCTGGTTGGGAAGGTCGACAGAGACATAAGAGAGGGGATGTGTCCACCATTTGGGCCCGTAGGATGAGGCAGCAGAACCGGGCGGGACTTCAGCTGACTTGGGTGGGGTTCAGAAGGGGGAGGGGGTGGAACATCAGGACTGTGCTGACCATCTTCACCTGAAATTTAGTGCATGTCTGAATATTCAAACTAAAGTTTAAATGCCACTATTCCATCATTTATTTTACTTTCTTCAACATTTAACCAACAATTAAACATATTAAACGTGTGAAAGACTGGGAAGAGTAACATTGCAAGTTATGAGATTATCCGCGACAAATAAAGATGTTGGTAAGTGGCATTAGTGCTTCTAAAATTGTTGATAATTCTGTACCCAAAATACTGAAGTTTAATTGAAAAAATCCAGAAAGAAATTTGTAGAAAAAGAAAAAATACTTAATTGTTATGAGAACTATAGAGTGCTGAAATTGAGAAAAGCTTTCTACATGACTACAGAAAGTTGGATTACTTCATACTACAACAATATTGCCAGCTGCCACATCAACTGATCAGATGTGGTGTCAAGTCAAGGAAAAGATGAAAGATCTAGCTAGAGAGGTTGCAGCATGCAAAGCAGAGAGCGGCACATCTTAGCCGATCCGCTTTGACACTCACCCTCAACTGACCCCCTTTGAGTTAAGGGGGGCATTACTCCCACAGGTGGGGGAGGTGGTGGTGGAGGAGGGGTATCTGAGGACTCCCTCTCAGTATCTACAACAGGGTATTATGTGATTATGTGTAATGAAAGATGACCTTGAAATATGAAAAGCAACAATTTCACATGCTGAGCTGTATCCTCTACATAACTACAATAAAAAGTTATGATGCTATTCATGCTTGAATGATTTAATTTAAAGTTAACTCGTATCTAATCTCTACCAGAACAGGTACATATTCACAAAACATGATACTACAGTGAAATGATGTATGATATGCAAAATGGTGTATATTAGCCAACAAATGCAACATTATCACAATGTCAAATTGGTCAAAGCACAGCACCTGTCACACGTGTTGCTACATCAATCAAGCAGTAACACTAAAATTGGAGGACAAACTGAAAACCTACTTGACTTATTGGCTGGCTGTTCCTCTTCTGTGTCATCCAGCCCAAATTCCTGACGAAGTCGTTCTGTCAGACTCATTGGCTTCCGCACTTCTCGTTCTTTCTTTTTATCTGTGTTTCGTGGAGAAATAATAAAACATTGAGTCAGGATTGCAAGTCATTCAAAAGCAATTACCTTAAAACATGAACATGGCAACTTTTCAATCCAAAGCAAATATGTTCTTGTTTGTGATCTATAAACTGTTTTTGTAAATTCAGAAATCTTTAAAAATAGCATTCAAAATATTGTCCCATTCCTACCTTTCTTGCCAGTTGGGCTAGTTGATTCAAACAGTGGAAGTGGAGCAAGTGTGGGAACATGAGGTGTGGATGACGACCGTGATGATTTCCTTCTCGCTCCATGGTGGTGAGACCTTGGGGGTGGAGGCGGGGGCGGGGGAGTTGAACTGCCACATGAGGGCTCTTTCACCTTCTCTTTCAACCTCTTGCGATATTCTAGAAGACTAACCTAGAAGGCAAAACAATCTCTAACTGCTTGGAAAGCTTGCAAAAGTTGAATTAGGATTTACTATTATTTATGTTATGATCAAGGTGATCAATGTACAAGGTTACAATAGCTTCCTTATCAGAAATCCTGAATCTGTGTTGTAAGAAAATTGTGAATTGTTAAAAACCAAGCATGTCCTATGATTTTAATATCCGAGACATTTTTTCTCATTATTTGAATTTTTCTGTACTGAATGAAATAAATTAGGAATCATGAATATTTGTGGGATTTTTTGTGAAATTGTGTGCTCAATCTTCACTTCATAAAGTATCCCCCTAAATAGTCATGATCCTTCACTTATTTTGTTCAATATACACCTGAAACCCTTGGACATAAAGCAGCCCTACCTTTTTCTTTGTTGGCGGCTCTGGTGGTGGGGGAGGGGGCGAGGGTGGCAGTGGTGGCTGAACCTCCAAGCAGTCGGGAGGCGGTGGAGGGGGACCAGGTGGAAGGGGAGGGTTCACACACCCTGCTTCCCCTTCACCAACATAATGAGAGTCATTACACACACCTTGTGACATGAATGGGGCAGGCGAACAGTGTGGATCTACAACACTTGTTGATGAAACAGTCGCCATGTCGTCATAAGACATGGCATTGTCTTTATCAGTTACATGATTAGAGTACCCTACAGCTGCTTCACTAGGCCCCGATTGAGAGTCTGGAGCTGCCACAGCTATCTGATCTCCATCTGGTGGAGTAGCTGGTGTCAGAGGAACAATCTCACTCTTGTTTTCCTCAGTGCTAGACACACAGCACATACCTTCCTCAGGAGGAGGCGGCAACCGAGGCTCATCAGTGTCATTTTCACTCACAGCAGCACCTGCATCTATTCTTGATGCCGAATCACAGACGATTTCATGAGAATCTGATACAAAGCAGTCTTTTTCTGCAGAGGATGAGGCTTTCTCAGCACTTTCACTAGTCCTTGCCTCAGCTTTGGCTGGAGAATCAACTTCCCCTTCCAAATGTTCTGGTGACCCAACAGATTTTGAGTCAATTTCTGACACCTCGAAACCTAAGCTTCCAGAAACCTCCCCTGAAGGTTCTGTTGCAACATCCTTAGAGCACAAACCATGTTCTACATTGGGAGAATCCTTCCCTGCTTCAGTGACCAAATTGCTCTTGCTTAAACATTCACTTTGCTGAGAATCACACGTCTGCTGCTCTTTCAAATTCTCCTCATTTGAGGTTTCTTGCGATAACAGGCCACTCCCCGAATCTATTTCCATCTGCTGGTCTTGTTTGTCAGATTGCTCTTCTGCACACACTTCCATCACTTCCCGAGCATCTGCCTCTCCCGTAGGAAGATCAGTCTTTTTGACCAAGTCCACAACCTCATCTGTCCGAGTCACTCGTTCCTCTACATCCATACTACTGTCTGCAGCTTCTGACCAGGACGTGTCTTTCTCTGAAAACAAAATGCTACTTTCGGCCATTTCTTCGGTACTGTTTCTACTTTCAGACCCTGGACAAGCTGATGGGGGTGGCAGTAAAGACTCCGAAGCATCACTATCAATGTCTGTAGAATCCCTTTGGCTACTTTCTCTCCTCTGACGCTTTGATGGCGGTCCACACATCTGAAAGGAAGAATAGGAAAATGTTTCAACTTATTCCTAATAACATGCTAAACAATGAAATCATGAACCGTTAAGTGCAGGGTCTAATAAAAAAACAAGAAAACAGTGTTATCACTATCAGCCGCCATGGGGCACATCAGCGTTTTGTTTGTTCATATAGTAGTGAATATAAACCACAAACAAGACAAAAAGAGACCAGGCTCACTAAAACCCAAACTTCGACTCCAACATACTTCTAAGTTGAAAACATGAAAAAACCCATCTTTGTCAGAAAATCTCCTTATCAAATTCAAACTTTGCACAGCGCCTCTCCTATTGATGTAGAAACTGTAGCCCCAATTGGAAAAGAATCCACGAAGTAGTTTTCAAGTTACATGTCGCACAAATGTTGAAGCCAAAAAATATTCTAAGTTCAAAACATGAAAAAAAATATTTAATTTTTTTTTTTTTTTTTAAATCACAAAATATGCACATGATAAATAAACTTTACATTGCACCTCTTCTATTAGGATGTAAACAGTTCTCTAAATTTGAAAAGATCATCTATGAAGCAGTTTTCTAGTTTTCACACAAATGTTTCAGTAAAAACATTCTACATGGAAAATAGCTGTATTTTTTTTTCTTAAAAAAAATCCAAATATTGAAAACAAACTTCACACTGCACCTCTCCTATTGGTAAAGAAACTGTACCCCCAATCGGAAAAGGACCCATGACGTAGTTTTCATGTTCTAGGTCGCACAAATGTTGAAGTAATTTTGTTTTAAGTTCACAAAATGAGAAACATTTTCAGAAGACACATATCAAACTCAAAATCTGCACTGCGCCTCTTCTATGAGTATGGAAACTGTTCCCTAAATTTGGAGAAAAAAAACTTGTCCCCCATGGCAGAAAATATGCACTTTGTACATTAAAATGGATCAAGGATCGTAACAGTGTACTCACAATCTAAAAACATGTATCATGGGAAGTAACTCCGGAAAAATATTTACGGGACCAATGTTCGCAGTCTTGACAAGTATCTCTTAGAAAGGCATGCAACCATTGCAGGCACTAAGCACTTTGTTGCATGGAGCAAGGGCCATAAAAAATGAATTTAAGACACAAATTTTTCGAACTCATTGAAGATCATAACCAGTAATAGTGTGTAAAATTTCATTTCTCAAACTTATAGTTATTGATAAAATTGGACCCTTTGAGAAGCGGATGGACGGATAAGAATTTGTTTCAGCATGACGATAGTCAGTCCTATCCAAAGTTGAAAAAAATAAATCTAAAGCCATTTGTTTCAAGGAAACTGAACTGTCTTCAAATGTTGTAAGTACCACCAGCAGACAGATGCAGTAATGACAGCTGTGAGTTAGTGTCTCACAAAAAAGGCCACTAATCAAAACCATCAGTTGCTTTAACAACTTTACATTCCGACTATTGACCATTTGTCAAATTAGTAAATAACAAGCCGGATTTGGTAAACTTACCTGATCATTCTTGTCCTCAGGAGTGACAGGTGTGTGTGGCAGCAGAGGCTTGATGCCGTTCTTGTTCTGCATTTCCTCCAGCTCGGCCTGGGGGGAGCCTGGTACTGCGGTCAATCCCAGCTCCCCACCAGCGCCTGGCTGCAGGACTGATGGAGAGGGAGTGGACGGAGTGGGAGTCAGAGGCTGCTCCTGTGACATGGACTCCCGTGCTAGACGACGCTTCTTCAGTGGAGTCACAAAATCTACAATTTACATACAGTTATAAATTTCAATCTTGTCTGTACTTGAAAATGTTACATGCACACTGATCTTTTTACACCAAATCATCAGATTTCTTTGAAGGTCACTTTCTCCTTCCTTTACAAAGGCTAGAACCAGGAATATATGAACACAGGAAATGAGAAAAAGAATGTTACTTGTACTAATAATGAAATGTTCACAGAATCAATTGAAAATGTGACATGAAACTACATCCCAGGATCTTGTGAAAAGGAACACATTTAAACTGAAAAGATGTGGAATCTTGCAGGATTGTCCAACATGAAATGTAAAGAAACAAACTTACCTGCCGGTGGTGATCCGCCAGGACTTGGCAGACACACCGTTGGGTTGGGGCTTGCACTCCCGTGTACAGGTGATGCACTGCCACTGTCACTAGATGGGGGACCAGTTTCAAACATTGCCTGTCGTAACCAACGCTGGAGAACAAAGATTCAACACTGATAATAGATAGAAGGAAGCACATGTTGAGTAATATGGGACAGAATGGTATAAATGTTCAAATATGATCTGAATTCAGAAAGGCTTGCACTGAACTAGAATATTTTATGCATAGCAAGCACATCAAACCCAATTCAAAGTATCTTAAGAATGTGCACATACTTCTTTGACCACAGACATTGCAACTTTGACTAGAAACAAAAGATTTTTGCACAAAATAAAGAAAATCTGCATACCTTCTTGGCAGACCCAATACTGTGTTCACTGCTGTTCTTGGGCTGAGGTATGACAGCTGGCGGAGCAGCAGAGCCGGCACTCTGGCTGTTGCGACGAGGTATGTGCTCCATGGCATTGCGGGGACTTGGTAAGCAAGTGACAAACATGGTCTCGTCTACACTCACTTCCAAGGGCTCTGTCTTCCCCACTCCTGCTGGCACTGCTGGCTTTATGTCTGTACTCCTCTCACTCATCCACTCATTAAACAAGTGCTGGAAAGAAAATCTCTGGAATATTTCACATGGAAAACATAATATTCCCCTGCTCTGGTGCAATACAGAGTTTGGCTACCAATACCCCACTTTTGGCTCATTGCCACTGGATACCTTCAGTTCAGTGATGAAAGAAACAATGCCTTTAAGTATTTTTCAATATCCCAAATAATCAAAAGGCACCAGTTCACCACCAGACTGATCTGTATCAGAGCTCTAGATGAGCTTTTGGTTATTTGGGATTGGTTTTTATTGGACATTCACAATTTTAAGTGGGTTTTCAATATTTTTGTTATCCATGTTACTTTACATTTTGATATTCAAACTTGAAAACCTGTTACAATCCCTATAAATCATTTAATACCAAATGAATAGTAGTTTACACATGTTTCACTGAATGTTACTGTTGGTAAATTTGTTGGGAATTTTGCGATCTGCAGATAAGTATTAGTTTCGTCCAACAGTTGTGATATACTCATTAGTCATATTTCAATAGTATTTTTATAGTTTTTGTTGCGTACTTGATATGCTAGTGATCTGATATGGCTGTGTATTTCAGTTTATTCAATGCATATTTTACACAAATACGCAGCCTATCTACAGCTCTGCATGGCAAGTTTCATGAAGTAATATTCAACAGTTTTCGAGTTCTGCTCCGGCAACAGAAAATGGATGGGGGACAGATATGCCCAGTCTTCTGCTTCCAACCCACCCAGTCTTCTGCTTCCAACCCTACCCAGTCATCTGTTTCCAACCCTACCCTGCCTTCTGCTTCCAGCCCTATCCTGCCTTCTGCTACCAACCCTACCCAGTCTTCTGCTATGAATCCTACCCAGTCTTCTGCTATCAATCCTACTCGTTCACCTGCTGTGAACCCTACCCAGTCTTCTGCTTCCAACCCTACCCTGCCTTCTGCTTCCAACCCTACCCAGTCTTCTGCTTCCAACCCTACCCAGTCTTCTGCTATCAATCCTACTCATTCACCTGCTGTGAACCCTACCCAGTCTTCTGCTTCCAGCCCTACCCAGTCTTCTGCTTCAGACCCTACTTAGTCTAGTCTTCTGCTTCCAATCTACAACCCTGCAGGTCCCTACCTGCTAGACCACTGGAACACATATGTATAGTGTATAACTTTAACCCAGTCTTCTTCTTCCAATCCTAACCAGTCTTCTGCTTAGGACCCTACCATATGCATGATGTACAACTTATATCCATGTTTCATAATATGCTACATACAGCTAATCATAAGCTCTCTGTAACACAAATAATAAATTAATGTTCCTCCTTAACTAGGTCTGCATTCAGTTCATCATGCAACTCGGACACAAAGGAGGGAAAGAAGAAACTCAGGCATTGCAGGAACTATTTTCCTAAAACCGACTGAATAAACACTTCAGTTAAGCATGTTAAGTCTAATGACAAGAAAATGGAATCTTCATAATCAATACCTTTTTAGTTTTGTGGAACTTGAAGCCTGCTGCATTGGGACTGACGATGTCTGCCGATGTGGGAGTCTGCACAGGGGTACCTGGGGTTGATCCTGTGTTGCTGTTTTCATCAGCGGACACAATCTCCATGATAGCCGCTGCACTGTTGACCCTACTTCTTCTGAGAAAAACAAAAAATTACAGATATACAGTATGTGTCCAAACACATTACTGGTGTGATAGTATAGGCTTGTAGTTTAAGAGGCCACATATTCATATAGTATCACTTTGTGATATTGGTGTGAAACAGCTATGAGGAAAATCAAAGGTAGACCTACCTCCTGGCATGTTTCTTGTTCTTTTTCCTGAAACAATGAAAGCTTATGTTAATATATTTGTAATTTTTTCACATATTGCTTTGGCGGGAATCTTATACAATTAAAACAAAACTGAGTCACCTTCTAAGAGCGGCCACATGCTTGATGTGCCTTCTCTCACGTTTTTTCAGCACTAGATTTGACAGTGCCTTGATAATATCAGCTTCGCAGAAGCCCTCAAACTCCCCTTCGGAACTATCTACTTGCACCTGAGACCAGGCAACCACACAGTTTTTGTCAAACATTTTCTAGAAAAATGGCTCTTCATCTGACAAATGAACCCACAAATACAATCTCAAGCTGAAATGAGATGAAAAACTTAGGCACATTGTGCAACACAATGAATGGTTTGAGATGAGCCAGCACACAAACCACATGCTCAATGGGAGAGTCTATTCACACACAGGAAAGATACTGCTGGACAACTGGATCATACCATTATTGAAGTAGGGGTGTCAGATCACCAACACCAGGTTGCCAAACACATTGACCATCTGATCAAAATCACATCACATAATTTGCTTGCAAAAAGATTTTTAACTTTAACCTGGCAACAATACAAGATATCAGTGTGGTTTCTGATAGTGAATCCATAAAGAGTTTAATGCCTTCACCTTGGTACCATATTTTATCAATCTAAGATAACAAAGAGTACTTGAAATATATTTTTCTGGAAACTAAGCAAGATCAATATTAAATGGACGTGTTGACCTATGATGTGCTTTACTAATTATACTAATCAACATCATGAATCTGATCTATGTTTCAATGATGCCTCACCCTTTTGTTGGGGTTGCTTTAGTTGGGGATTCAGGTTTGGGCTTTTCTTCAGGCTCCTCCTTCACTGGAGGCGGTGGCAGTGGGGGAGGAACTTCCTCTACCTGAAATGTAACATGCATGTAATCAACTGAATATCTACAAGCCTGCAGGTCCCTATCAACTAAGTTACTTGAGTAAGTCAGTGAGTTGGGTTAACATCGCTTTGAACAGTATTCCAGTTATATCATGGCATGTCAGCTTAATGCGGGAGGAAAGTCTGACCTAATGCAGGTCTCAGATGTGTAATCCATGAGTATGAGTATGGTGCTGACAAACCGAGAAACATAGATGTGGGCAAACCAGGATTTTAACCCATCCATGACCCCCAAGGCTACATGAACAGATCACATACATATAATGTATACTACATATTGTCATGTTTCATAATATGTTACATCCAGCTCATCACAAAGCTCTCTGTAACATGTAATGAATTAATGTTCCTCCTTAACTAGGTCTGCATTCATTTCATCATGCAACTCGGACACAAAGGAGGGAAAGATTAAACAGCTGCTTATAGTGGGAGAGAGAAGTGAGTGAATTGGGTTAATGCTGCTTTGTTGACGGTGGGAAGAGTCATTAGAAACCCAACAAAACCCTTGTCAGCTCTTGACACAACTTGGGTCTTCTGCTTCCAACCCAACCCAGTCTTCCGTTTCCAATCCTACCCAGTCTTCTGCTTCCAACCCTACCCAGTCTTCTGCTTCCAACCTTACCTAGTCTTCTGCTTCGGACCCTACCATATGTATGATGTACAACTTATATCCATGTTTCATAATATGTTACATCCAGCTCATCACAAGCTCTCTGTAACATGTAATGAATTAATGTTCCTCCTTAACTAGGTCTGCATTCATTTCATCATGCAACTCGGACACAAAGGAGGGAAAGATTAACCTTATCTAGTCTTCTGCTACCAACCCTACTCAGTCTTCTGCTTCCAACCCTACCCAGTCTTCTGCTTCCGGCCTTACCTAGTCTTCTACTACCAACCCTACCCAGTCTTCTGCTACCAACCCTACCCAGTCTTCTGCTTCCAACCCTACCCAGTCTTCTGCTTCCAACCTTATCTAGTCTCATGCTACCAACCCTACCCAGTCTTCTGCTACCAACCCTACCCAGTCTTCTGCTTCCAACCCTACTCAGTCTTCTGCTTCCAACCCTACCCAGTCTTCTGCTTCCAACCTTACCCAGTCTTCTGCTTCCAACCCAACCCAGTCTTCTGCTTCCGGCCTTACCTAGTCTTCTGCTACCAACCCTACCCAGTCTTCTGCTTCCAACCCTACCCAGTCTTCTGCTTCCAACCCAACCCAGTCTTCTGCTTCCGGCCTTACCTAGTCTTCTGCTACCAACCCTACCCAGTCTTCTGCTTCCAACCCAACCCAGTCTTCTGCTTCCGGCCTTACCCAGTCTTCTGCTTCCAACCCTACCCAGTCTTCTGCTTCCAACCCTACCCAGTCTTCTGCTTCCGGCCTTACCCAGTCTTCTGCTACCAACCCTACCCAGTCTTCTGCTTCCAACCCAACCCAGTCTTCTGCTTCGGACCCTACCATATGTATGATGTACAACTTATAGCCATGTTTCATAATATGCTACATACAGCTCATCAGAAAGCTTTCTGTAACATATAATTAATTAATGTTCCTCCTTAACTAGGTCTGCATTCAGTTCATCATGCAACTAGGACACAAAGGAGGGAAAGAAGGAACTCCAGCATTGCAGGAACAATTTTCCTGAAAAGGAACAGCTTTTGGCACCCATCCCAATTGTAGTTGATGCTTCAAACCCTATCTTGTATTCTGCTTCAAACTGTATCTAGTCTACTTCTGACCCTACCAAGTTCTATGCCCCAACCTATCATTTGTTATTAAGACACATAAAACAAGCACCCTTGTCAAACAAAAATCTATAATCTCACTCAGGCATTATTTTCAGCATGCATTCAGAAAAACACTTTAGGCCTCGTATCAAATTCCTTTACCTTCCCTATTCTACACATAATGACGCTTCCTTATAAACAGCATTTCTCAATACACATCCAAACTGGAAAATATCAAATCTCTGTATGCCTCTATTTACAATCAACGTCTTTCTTATACTTAATTGTAATAATATATGAAAACCCTTACATCTGGCTTTTTAGTAGTTTCAAGTCGAGCTAGTGCTTCTTTCCGTCTTTCTTCCCTCTTGGCCAATTTCTCAAATGCTTTCATGATAGCCTCCATCTTTCTTTCTTCTCGAGTCTGAAACCAGGTACAAAGGATTGTTACATAAACTATTTCAAACTTGGCAATCAGATGTCACACATCATAGACAGAGAATGTTACATTATCATTATTTATAGTGTTAATGATAAAGCAAAGTTGACAATAAAATAGTGAAATAAAAGGATGTATCATGACATTGTTGTTATATGCCTATAGGCTTTCTAGTTCTTTGGGCCAGTGAATCAAAACAATGCCCAGATGAATGGTGACAAAGTACTTCTATGGCATCAGGATATAAAACATGATTTAATGGCACCATTTTGAAGCAATTTCTTAGATTGGACAAACCTTAGAACAAAGATGCCAGTTATGAATACTAAATTATCTTAAACTTGGCTGTGTTATACTAGTTGATTTTTATGATAGAATATACAGTCATTTTATCTGTAGATATCCTATGTCACATCATGTTTTGCATGACGTAATGCCATATATCATAATTTGACAAAGTGTAATGTTTCAGCCAGTCAGCAGCTGTTGAACCTCACCATCTTCTTACACCTTTCTGCTGCCTCCTGCTCTGACTCAGAAGACAGCTGTGTTTCCAGTTGCTGAGCCTGGAGATCAATCATCTGCTCAGAAGCAGGTGCTACGACAGTAGCAGGTTTCACTTCAACTGGTTCTTTCTTGATTGGTGATGGCTCCTACAATGCAATAAGTTCAGTACATTTCATTATAATGAAAACTAAAACGATAAAACATTCAGTGATTCAACCAGAGTTTCTGATTGATTCATACTGAGGAACATCAACCTATTTTTCTCTTTAAGATTCATGCTAAATAATACATAGAGGAATGTTCTTTAATAAAATGTTAAAAATCATGGAAATATTCCAGAATACCCTGATGGCATTGCCTTGAAAAAGAAAATCACAGAATATTCACCAAAGCAGATCTTACATCTTAAATCAAGATCCTATGCTCTTAGTAGACAATTTTCACATCTCTTGAACAGACTCAGCCTTTTAGTTTTTGAATTTATTAATAAGTACATAAACATGACAGCACCAGTACTCACTTCTACAAGATGGACCACCTTCTTCTCAGGTGGCGGCTTAACAGGGGAAGCAACAGGTGTTGTAGGACTCTTGGGAGTTTGTTTAACCTTTGTTCGTGTGGATTCTCTCTCTGGGGCACTGAATCTCCTGGTTCTCTTCTTCTCCTTGACCGGTGATGGTGGCGGAGGCACAGGGGCAGGAGTAGGTGTTGGTGTGGGTGCAGGAGCACGCGGCTGGGATTCCCTGAAACAGTGGTGACGAAGATGATTACATCAGGCAATGGTAGCTAGAAATATTTACCTTGGCATGGTAACAATGATCCAAAATCATCAAGGACAGGTGTTTTTTTCTTGCAATTACCTGCTCTCATAAATCACATTTATTGTTAATTTATATATATATATATATATATATATATATATATGTAATCAATAGTTACAACAGGGTTCATTTTCCTTTCAACCAAAAAAAACTTACTTGTTTTGAGAATTCCTTAGCTTCTTCCCGAACTTTGAGACAGGACAAGTGACTTTTTGACAAGTACATTCCACACTAAATGAGCTGGAAGGAGATATGACAATTACATTAGTCTAAATAGGTTAAATGGTTGTACACATAAAAATAATGAACAAAGGACTCAGATCTATGGCAGATTCCACAAATAGGGCAGATATTGGCACACACTAAGATCTATGGCAGATTATCAAATAATATAACTTCTATAGCGCAAAATATCGTGTAGATTCTTATATATAGCGGCAGACTCTCAATGATGTGATGTTTCTGGATTATTTTTATCATTTCACCATCCTCTCATTTGTCGGAATTATAACATGCTGAATCTTTTCATGCTTCCTCACATGGGATTCAGAGCCTTTACACGATGACATTTTGGATTTTTTAAATATCAGGTCTTAGGGGCTTTCAATACTGGTTTGAATGCACCATAAGAAAACCTTTATTTTCTATGGTCTTGCTCCATTGTTTTCGACTGATCGCTGTGTCTATCGGTAATAGATGTTAAATTTACATGGCGTCATCACAGGCAAGGATTGTGACGTCAATTAATAATTGAACTGATTGTTCATTCATGGATAAGACATTATTGCAAACATGACATCAAGTCACAACGAGAATCTGCTACAGGTCTGAGAATATGCCACAGATTAGAGTCCCTGTTGGATCCGAGTCCTTCATATATATATACATGCATGCACCATGTGCTGGGAAAGACTAAGTGGAAGAGTGTCCTCAAATTATACAAAAACACTACCACTTGTAAGAATTAGCAACAAAATAAAACTTTGGCTGTATGGAAATACTACTCACCACTCTTTATAGTTGTAATCAAAGGGAATAGTAATTTCTCCTCCTTTTGGGATGTCTTTCTTGGAGATGACAATAAATTGAATGTTACCTTTCTCAATCACATGCTGAACCTGAAACAAATCATTAAGACTAATTAAAACTCACAAAGATTGACAATGTCAGCATGAGGTGTATTTATTATTTCTGCTTAAGTCTTGATATGGCAAACAATGAACCTTTATAAAACAAGTTTTTCATCATCAGATCATCTCTAATATATTGCCACTGAGTAGATGCTCTAAAGAAGTATAGAACTGTACATAACCATCAATATGAAATGTGACAATGGTGCCTACCTCAGCATTTGGCGTACATGACCTCCTAATAAAACGAGCATCACCGCCATAAGCACTTGCATCTACACATAAGTCAAGGTCCTCAAACTTGGAGTAAAACAACACAAACGGATGAAGTCTGGAAAACAAAACATACATCAATATAATTCAACAGGAAAAACATTCTAGTTGGCTTCATAAGGATACAGCACATATGGAAATGAGTCTAACATGTCTAAAGCCTAATATACTGGTATAAAACAAAACGTCATAACATCTATGGTTTTTGTTTACACTTGGATACTTATCCTGCATTGCTACCTTAATGCTTCTACTGCTGTTCTTTGACTAGGAAGACAGAACTGTGAGAGGTCCTGGCTACAGAAATTGTTGTACCAACCAGTTGTTTGGCATACTCTCTCCAACAGCTACCACGTGGCCGGAAGTGGCGACGTCACATATAATCACATCACTGCTAGTAACGAACATCTGAAACTTCACGGGGAGGTAGCAAAGCGATGGGTGGGCACTTTAGACGTAGTAACACCACTTGTCAACATACAGAGTATGTGTCGAAGGTCTATGTTGAGTAGCCCTTGGCATCTAGGGCCCGGTGGAGATGTACCAAGCTTGCAGAAGAAACTTGTCTGGGGATGGGTGTGGCAACTGCAGATGGGTGTGGCAACTGTGGGGATGTACCAGTAGATGTGGCCACCCTGGGAGTTCAAGAGGGTCGCAACTGGCATGCTCTCGAAGATCCACGAATAAATTCTGTGCCGGCCACCAAAGTGTAATCAAAACCAGTGAAAGATTTGGTGTGTTTTTTATCTTCTGCAGAACCCTGGTAAGTAGTACAGGTGGCAGAAAAGCCTACACTTTTAGGCCTGCGCAGGGGATGCTGAAAGCGTTGACCGCCCAAGCCAGAGAGTCCAGGACCGGGGAGATGTACGGATGGAGCTAATGATTCTGTCTGGTGGTGAATAGGCCGAACTGTTGGTACACCTGGGTGAAGGCATTGGGATGGAGCATCCACTCCATGGGAGCTGCTATAAAAGAAAGCTGGTACCCATGGTGAACCGATCACCACCACTGGACTTGTGAATTACCTTGTGGCTTTGAACAAAAGGAAGAGGTAGCCTGGGGGAAGCCTTAAAATAGGCATGCCTGAGCTGTTAATTGTTTGGCTTAGATGTTTAAAATTTGGATTATTAGGAGACATGCTCCAATGCTGTAAGTGGCATTTCATTACAGGCAAGCTGGAGATGTGTGTGAGTTTAAGATTATAGGGCAATTGAAGAGCGAGGATGCACTCCACGGCTGACATTGGCTGACTCTTGAACATTAGAATCCTAATCCACTAAGGCTAGATAACCAAGGAGCCTAGTTGTGGTGATTTCCACTACAGCCACCCGGAGATGATTACATAGATGGTCTATTTGACGTTGTTGAAATGACATCATAGTACATAAATGATCGACAATGAAGATTGTCCTCAGTAACATCCATATCAATGACTCTGCCAATAGAGGCGAAGACGGACAGCCTAATTTCAGTCTCAACAAATGGGATGGATGATGGGCAGGACCAAATCTGGACCCGAGGAGGGAACGACCAAAGCCAACCGGTCCAAAATCCTATCCGGTCCAAGCTGTGTGTCTAACTCCAAAGCGGTCAACTCGAAAGACAAGCCATCTGAGCTCGTCGGGGAGTCCGATGGATAATCGTATTGTCGACGAAGCAGGAAGGAATACAGATACGGAACGAATAAGGGACTGAGGTCTGGAGTGGATCTGGAAGTATGATGGAAAGACCTGGGAGAGAAAGCCATGTGTATGAGGCCGGCAAGGAGCCAAGGACGGTAGGTAGTTGTAGTTATTGGCAATAGACGCATATGCATATGCTGCGTAAGAGGTGCTATTAGCACAGGAGTGGACCTGTAGATGCCGGAGCTATGCTGATTAATGGTGGAAACCCCAGAGGCACCAAGGACGTCATGGGGCTGGAGGTGTTGGTATGAGAATGGTCCAGACCGGTGGCAAAGGTGCCGGAGGAGCTGCCTGAGCCATCAATGACATGTACATGGATTGCATCCAGTGAACCCAGGCGGGATCCAGAACGCGTTGAAACTGGGAGGCATGAGAGCGACTGTGCTAGCTGTGCCTCCACAACCTTTTGCACAGACAACAAAAGAGGTGATCGTAGGTGCGGACATAGTGGGCGTGAATGCAGTAGACAAAGGTGGGGAGAGGCACTGCTCCATTAGTGATGATTGCAGCTTGGTAGGGAATAATAACACCTGTGCCAACGTATTAGGCGACCTCCGAAGTTAGAGAAGTGTCCCTGTGGTCGGCCATCTTTTCAGGCATGATGGGTGTGTCATTCTGTCAAGAACCAGAGGTATTCAGTGAAGTCATGAGGGGAGAGAGAGCCATAAAACTCGCACCACCACTACGTAGAACACGGAACGTACAATCGACACACAAGGGGTGCGGATCCTTGGCTGATTTATTGCCCCGGCATTGTGAGCAACACTACATATAATTTCAATGAAATAGACAAAAGTAGCAAGCAGAATAGACACACATGTCAACAAAGATAGATAATTATAACTCAAACTTTAAGAAAGTTCAATTATACACTGAAAAAGCCCAGAATAGAAACATATATAGCACATGAACAAGAACCAAGATAGATATATTGAAATATCAAAGCAAAAGACATGCAGACATGCAAACATGCCAACATGGCAAAGCAAGATGGCGGATGGAAAAATATGCGCAAAGGAAGCGTGAGAAAGAGCGACAATTATGCTAAGGTAAGCCTGAACAGACTTGAGAACATATTGGTTTATCAAAGGCTGCTATCTGGTTCTTTAATCTGGGGAGCCTTATTCTCAATCGTCCGATGACTAGCAGTGATGAGATTATAAGTGATGTTGCCACTTCCTGTCACGTGGTAGCTGGGGGAGGGAGTATACCACACAACAGGTTGGAAAAACAATTTCTGTTGCCAGGACCTCTCACAGCTCCATCTTCCTAGTCAAAGAACAGCAGTAGAAGCATAAAGGTAGCAACGCAGGATAAGATAAATGATACAGTGAATATATCCAGGTATTTGGCAATAAGCAAGTCAGAATGTGATACTTAAGTCAGTCTAATGCTGCAGCCAGTAAATTCACAGTTGTATCAAAGTAGCTTGTATAAAAACTGGACCAGGAAATCAAGTGGTCACAGATGAGAAGCATTCTCATCTTCAGTGGTCACTCACTATCTATACTCAGCAGTCATTGTGGCCACAGGACTTTAACTTTAGTGATATTTTTACAACCCATAACAGTTAACATGGTACAGTCAGGGTACTGACGAATAGAATACTGGTCTTACGTCTTCATGACATTTTCTATGTCCAGATGCTCTCGGAGCATGACAGTTCCCTTGAATTCTATCACAGCTTGACCTTGAGGAATCAACTCCTTGGCAACAAGACCCTGTCAAAGAAGCAAAATCACAAGTAAGACATACATGAAACAATCAATAAACTTAAAACAAGAACTATGTGTTCACGTAAACTTTATATAGCACAAGCATTAAGAAGAGCATAAGATAGGAAGAACTTGGTTTTAATTTTCTCTTGTCTGAAAAAATAATCTGCGAAAAGGTTGCAATCAACCCAGCTGTGAAAATGGTAAACAACAAGGAAACGTCATTAGTCCTTCCTGCGTGTATTTTGTTTCAGCCTAGCAGATTTATTTCAAATGACTATTTCATGAACCAGTCTTATTTCATTTGTAAAGAAACTGTAACCAAACCAAGGACATCAATGATTTGTCCACTGTTTGATCCAGTGAGGAGACTACAGATTTTGGTTAACAGCTTCATCAACTTTGTTTATCAATAACATTAAGAAAATCATTGAAGGTTTGAATTGACAAGAACTGCAACTGTCAGTCTCACCTTTCTATTTGTCTTGACCTCAGTGACAACACATTGCTGAACCAGCAGCTTGTCTGTCACCGGACTGTCGGACTGCAAGGGAGAATGTAGGTCGTGTTACTCAGTATCAACAAAACAGCAATCCAAAATGTCATAAATGTTACTGATAAAAAGCATTTGTTTATAGTGTAATAGAAATCTACTCTCTCATTCCGACATAACAAATCCACATGAACATACTCAGCATTTGTTTTTTATCAAGAATCTTTCGACATAAGTAAACATGGTAAATATGCATCCTGAAAGTTCAAGAAAATTTACTCACCAAAACTCCATTGGTTTTTGTCAAGGACAGCAGGTCCCTCATTCCAGCACTATAGTGATTCTCTTTGGCTACTTCATAAGAATCCACCCATGGGCTAAACATAATAAACATATTCATTACCTATGAGAGCAAACATGTCGGGGTTCATAAATATCACATGTGCCCTAGGGTCATATCACGTCACAAGACAACAGTGTATTTTTTCCGTCATACGGATGGCAATGTTGACGCCATTTGAATCTTATTTCCAGTCCAGTTTCCACCTGCTGGACTAGGCTGGAATTTTAATGACACCAGTACCTATTATGAGTTGTGTCCCTTCCATGTCCCTCCTATTTCACCTCTCATGTCACTTGCATTTGCTTCAAACTAAATGTCTATCAAAATGGTCTGATCAAGTTAATCTAGGAAAAGTTTCACATTTCCTGCCTCACGGACACCAAGTGCATGTGGATTGTTCCACAACACTTGAATTCATTGGTTAAAAATATGAAAATTTGTAAAATATCTGTCAATGTCCAGTTGACCCCACACATGCTTTTCAAATCCTGCAATCGACCAAAATCTGTGCAGCGGTCACCATGTTGTGTACAAACAGAACGTTGATTTCGTTACGCGATTTTGCTTTGACTAGGCATGGTCTCGTTTGTCCAGCCAAAATATAACTCAGAAATTCCAGCCAAGGTCGTCAAAGGAGGAGAATGGACTTTTATAGTCAGTGAACCCCCTTGCCACTGGAAGATGCCAATCATCTAATACAAAGATAGAACAGCATATTGTAAAGCAGACCTTGAAACTAGCACAGAGCCTATAAAACTTTGTGACCAATTAAAAACACAAAAGATCATGCTAAGGAATATTTAAACAATGACTAAAGAGCTGTAAAGAGCTGAAACTATACTCAAAAAGCTCACAGCTCAGAAACACATCCTCTTTGGACAACATAAAGCTAATCATGCTATCAAAGGACCAGTCAATATCAACTAACATCCCTGTATGGCTAGTGTGCCATCATGCTACAAAACAGTGCACTATCAATGAGAGACATCTTCCTCTTCCCTGATTGCTATGTGGTGGAGGTTGAATAAATAGTCTCACCTGAACATACTGTTCCATGGGTCACCATTATCATTAGCAACTGAGACAGAAGTCTTCCTCCTTTTCTGTAAAATATATCACAAACATTGGACAAACTGCAGACAATGGTAACATCTATTTACAGATACGAAAAACAGGAAGAATCTGGTTGAACATATATACATAAAATTGAACAACACTTTCAAAGAAAATGGCCGATTATTGGCTGTAAGAAATTTCTGCTTTCTGTATGGTCTAAGAGCAAAGTTCAAAATATGGCCACAAGAAAAAAAAGGAACATTCAAATTGAGCCCCACTGTTTACTATACACATACCATTTTATATTACATTTAGTACAAAAATGGGCTAAACAAATTTGAGCGTCATCATTGGTTTGAACAAGCATATGAACAGTCCAGTGGTTTTTGAGACGAAGAATGTTTATAACTGAAGATCTTATTGATGGACTTCATACACAGGACGAACAGGCCACAACACAAGCTCATTCGACTTTCTGTCATGGGAGCTGAAAATCAGATGACTACCCTACTGTATATAATGTACTGAATGGTTTTTATAACTGACAAGATCACAATTTCCAAAACTCAATGACCTCTTGTGAACATTTTCAGCTAGTTTCCATCAACTTAGATGTCACTTCTTAAACATATTAAGAACATCATAATGAATCATCATACCTTTACAATTCTTACAGGCTTCTGAATACTGTCTTTGGCAATCTAGAAAAGAAAATAACACATAACATATAGACACTGAAAGACTTTGCACAGCTGCCAACTTTGCCAAACTACAATAAGTATTTGTAAAGATATTCTCATCAGGACAACCAAATCACAAGGATAGTGTTTTTGAGGATGTTTGGAGGTACGTATGATGGTGGCGTTCGATGGGGGTCGATGGGGACTCCTTCATGAAAATTTGGGGATCTTAAGAGTGAACTAGTGGCACTTGGTGAATGAATGGACAACACTGTCACTTAACTGTATCCACAGCAGACTTTGCAAAATGCATGGTTTGGATATTTCTTAAAGGACAAAATATACACAAGTTCCATGTAATACTAAGGTGATTGGTATCATATGCAACGATCCACACCATAGGGGTACGATCACACGATATGAACCAAGTCACCAAGTCTGACCACCCAATCCACTTGGAAGCCTCTTACGACCAGCATAGGCTGCTAGAGACATATTCTAACCCAGAATCCTCACAGGATGACATCATAAGTAAACTTCAGATCTTATGACATCCCATCTAAAAAGCAGTCTGTTTAATGAATATAAAACATGAATATGAGATATGAATTGAAAAAATCAAGGGATTGAGGAAAATGATAATACTAATAACAATGGATTCTAAGAATAGAGGTGCGGTGAAATGGGGTTTAACGTCAAGTTCAAGATTATTGCACTTCTATAGCGATGTGATGGTACTGGCCAGGGCTAATGCCAGACTCAACCAGTCTTTTGGTATAATATGGCCAGGGACTGAACCCAAGACCTTCCACTCTCTGGGCAGATCTCTAAGAATAGAACAATTGTTACATACCTTTGTTTTCTGTTTCTTGTTCCCATCTTTCCCCATATTTTCCTTCTCCTTTTTTGTCATCCGTTTTTCCTTTTTAATTACATTTTTCTTTGGCGAGACCTTTTCTTTAGGCTTAGAGATCCGCCTCTGCTTGACAACTTTCCCCTTTGTTGGTGTTAAGGATTTCTTGTTCAGGGATGCCAGATGATTAGCAGCTTCATCTGGATCCGTATCAGTAGCACTAGTATCTGTTAACATTCAAATAGAAAACTGAAATGTTCAAAGAATGGCACAAGTCATAGTTGGATTTCTTTAATTAATGTAGTTTCACTTATTTATTTGGTCTTGTTTCTTTATAATGAATCAATTTCATGTAATAAATTTAATAAAGTCATTGTTCAGAGCCATATTTGATAACATTCTCCATGTAAGATTCTGTAGGCTATCAAGCCTTGACCATTATAACGACTTTCAAAATCACATGCCAAGTCAAAAATGCCATCATCTTTAATGAAAACGTCACTAAAACATGCCCATCACTATTCAATTTGGAGTGGAGACCAGTATCGTACAAGAGTTATCTTCCCTTGTTTCTCAGAGCCTCACCTGTCATTTCTTCTCGCTTCCTCATCTGTATGAGTTTTGCTCTGTCCACATCAATGTGACGTGGCTCACACAACTCACAGAAAAAGCTCTCTGGGATGTTGTTGCGGTCGATGCCCATACAGTCAATGTGTTGCCATACACTAACAAAAAAGTAATGTCATCTTTACAATGCAAGTACACACGTCTGAACACCTTGCATTCTACTACAGTAACAAAATCAAGCAAAGCAAATGGCAGACAATGAAAACAAATGAAAACAAATAAAACCTGTCCAGAAAACAAATCATTTAAACTATTATAAAGGAAATGAACAAAGTTCAGATTTTTCTCACCAAAGACGTGTAATATCAGTGGACAAATGTATACATTCATTCTTTATTGGAACATTTACAGGGTAAAAGCTTACAACATTGAAATACTCATTGAACCCTCACTTGTAACAATTACCAATCTACTCCCAGATAAACTAAACCTCTGAAGCACTGGCATTTTCACGTACCTGCACTTATCACAGCATATCATGTAGCCATCATCGTGCTGGAACTGACAAACACAGCGTGTGATGCTGTCATCAAACTTGTCGTCTTTAGGCAGCGGCACAATAGCAGTTGCCGCCGCTGTACTGGTCGTGGACACCACCTCTTCCAGCTGGACATGACCATTGATGACCCCCTTTACTTGGGGAGGAGGAGATTGTGGGGGTGTAGGAGGAGGAGGAGCTCCATAGTTGTGATCCTGGAAACAATAACATTGCACATTATAACTCTGCAAATATGTAACTATTTTTTTAATTTGAATCGTGTTCTTTAAAACTGAAAAAAGACAGAAGTCATTACAGAAAAAGTAGAATGGTAGCAAACTATAAACTGAAGTCCTTACTTGATACGGCAAGCCATAGCAACTGGCATAAACAGTTGGAGGCGGTCGCATCATTTCCTCAGGAGGAGGAGGTATCTCAACAGTGTCACTGCAATGAAAAGAGTTTCATGTTCAATAAATGAATTCAGTTTGGCAATAATTGTAATAAACCTCAATTATACTTGTGATACAGATAAGGATCTTTAATTAGGCCATAATATCTCATACTTACACAGGGTTTACTCAGGGATTTTTTTGACATGGGTCTTTTATGTGAAATTCCAGAGGTTGGTTTGGTTTGATGTTTTACACCACACTCAGCAATATTCCAGCTACATGACGGCGGTCTGTAAATAATTGTGTCTGGACCAGACAATCCAGTGATTGATATCATGAGCATCGATCCACGCAATTGGGACTGATGACATGCTTCAACCAAGTCAGAGAGCCTGACCACCTGATCCCGTTAGTCGCCTTTTATGACAGGCATAGTCGCCTTTTACGTCAAGAATGGGTTGTTGAAGACCTATACTATCCCGGATCTTCACGGGTTAGAGGTACGTCCATACAGCACAATGTTAAAATGCCCCATTGTATTTGAGAATGTTGGCCTTTTTTTTTAAATTTAGGGGCTAAAAGCACAAGGACCCAGCCTACAATTATCCATGCTCACATAATTCATACAGTTTGGGTCAGACTCTAGGGTTCATCAAATAATGGGCAACATACAGATTGATGAGACTAATCATACTAATGAAACTAAAACAGTTCTTCCTAAGGTAATTTATTTTGAAATATTGCCAAGGTCTGCAGAAGTCCCCATTTATTGCTTATAGAAAATAAAGACATGTGATATTTCTGCCATATCACAATGTTATTATGAATAAATCTGTTGTGGAACAAACAAGACATTACAGTGTTCATTTCAAATGTTACGAAAAATGAATCCCCATACAATTCATTGCCCTTAGCACCTTTGTGGGCACAACTACTAACACCATCCAAGGCGAACAGAACTGATTCAATAAACAGAACACTCTATCCCCGTTTGGCCATCTCCCTGAGGTACTGGAGACATTTTTACCTATGTGCCCTAACTACTAAACCTGAATGGCAACAAATAGAAAATGAAGAGAAGTACTGACTTTCAAAATCTGAAGAAACAATCATTTATGTGTATAAAATGTTTTAACAAACACTTACTCATCCTGTGACGACCAGGGGACTTCATTCCCACTGGTGCCGCCGATTCCTCGGACTGCCCCAATGCGCACTATTATGCTCATCCTGATGGCTCTACATTAATTCTTGAAAGGTTGAAATTGGGGCTGCCAAAAGCAGCCTCAGGGCTGTGCATGACAGTCTTCTGTACCACACACTTAACTGAAAACAGAACAAATAATACCAATGATGAACATGAATTAATACACCTAATAGTCAAAATGTCAACAAAATACAAAATTTAATAATAAAGCTGTGGTCTATTTACTGTCACATCTCGACATATGATGACATCCCTACTAATTGCATATTATCATGTTTCTAAATGCTCATGTTGTCTATCTGCATGATATTTGGTCTCAACATATTATCTACAATAATACACTAATTAACCTATTCAACGTTCTGATTTGTCTCTTCTTTAGAATAGTTAAGCATTGTCAGTACAGTCTGCTATCTCAAATCTTGTCTCTTGGTATAATTTTTGGTAGAATTTAGATTCAAATCCAACATTTGGAACATTATACGATGAACTGAAAGTGAAAAGTGAATGTTTGAAAGCAATTTACTGAATCAGTGAATGTTGGCCAAGATGGAAGTATGTGTAACCAGAAAATGCATGTTTCACTTACAAACAGAAACAACCTAATTATTTTCTAAAACTCAGATTTGTCTTGAAAAACTCAAAATTTAACCACAATATTGTTCAAACTGGGAAAACTTTAATTTACCTAGTATAACGACAATACACATCTGTCTATATTGATATGGACATAGAAGTAGTGAGTTGATCTTTCAATGTGTATTTGGCAGTCTTATGACAAGCCGGATAAGACACCAGTGAGTGTGACAACTATAATATGTAGTCTAATATGCCTGCATTGCATCCTGGCTACATTGTAACAAATCATTTCCTCAGTGACCCCAACAGATGTAGTTTCCCTTTACAAAGTTGGATGACGTTTATGAAAGTGAGAATCTTAATAATGCTTGAAACATTAAGCAGACAGAAAAAATCTTTGAGGACATGACAGGAAACGATCATATTCTGACACCACTGCCAAGACACTAGCGAGAACAACAAAGAATTTGTAAAGGAATACAATGTCCAATGGCTCGTAACTTTATTCGAGGAAAGAATATGAAAGAGGACCTAAAAAAAAATTGCCAGGCTGCCATCAGTACCCACAAACTTCAGAAGCTGCATGCCCTGACCAAAATCTTCAGACACTCACTTAAAAAAACCCCTGCAGCTTCTTGTTACAGACAAATTGAGACATAAATTTACTGCAGGCAATAAGGACCCATACAAATTTGAAACTACAGGCCTGATATGAAATCTATCTGCCACAGCCTGCTGGCAGGCACTTATTTTGAACACGGCAGATGATCCCTAATGTAAATGAACAAATGTGATGAACACAATGAAATACTACTGGGATTCACCAGTGCATTTGTTAAATCCAACAGACATTATTATGATAGAATTCATGGACATGATGAAAAGATATTATTATGACAGCAAATTATTACTACAGTGTTCTATTACAACTTTCCACTCATGCTCATGTTTCTAGTTCACATAGGAAATTCTGTTCAAATCAAGCACATCCAAGGAAACAAATACCCTGTATCAAACTTTGTTCATAAGATTGTAGTGTGCGTTTTATGGATTTCAAAATTCAATGTATCTGTACAAAATGATTAGATCAGAAATTGATCAATGTGGTGGTCAAGTTATACGGCAAGAAAATTCTAACTGAATATTTTTGATGGGGCAGCGAAAAATTTCATAAAACATCCTGACATTTCTCTGATTAACAAAATGAAAAGACCACAAGCAATAACGACATACAATTTGATAAAAGTCATTCTTTTCACTTGCCCCTGAGGTTGGTTAAAGTTATCGTGACATTAATTTATGATTAAAGAGTCAATGCAACTGTAAGAAACAAAGAAAGAGCTCATATCTGAGTCATACTCATTGTGTTAAGATTCTGTTAACTTTATTCTTAATCCAGGTATGACAGGAAATACAGAGTTTTATACCCTCTGCCATTTGCATGTTCTGCCTTGGAATTATCAAACCTACCAAGCTATCTAACACTATTAAGTTCAACATGTGGATGCTAGGTGTAATCATCAAAATAGTAATGTATCTCTCTTATAATAACCATAGATTTACCTGTGAATATGTGCAATTAACTTTGAGTTTAGTTTAAAGTCACTTTGAACAGTATTTCAGTTATATCATGGTGTGTGGGGAGCAAGCTTGGAGCAGTCTGCGCCAAAAACTTTTGAGTCTACTTGCCTGAATCTGGCTAATTATTAGTACATTTTAGTGTTACAATATGGATTTTTATTCACAGAGCTTACAAAACCAAAAGCATTTTAAGACAATGGTTTCGGACTAGTGGTCAAAGTTGCAGACTGTTTAAGTCATGCAGGTCTTGGTCATTTACCACTTTGGTGAAAATCATGAGCATTGGTACGGTGCAGATCAAGCTAGAAACATCAGGACAAATTTGGGACTCGTACCCACGATCTTAGGTTTCTGGCATGTTTAAAGAACATATTGCACAACAAACTGTAGTGCATTTGCCAACTGTGCCCTCACAGTCACAATGTGATGAAAATATGCATGTTATAGTCAACATAATAAATACCTGTACATCATAAAAGCTCACTTTTACAAATCTGGCGTATTGTTTAAAGTTACAGGCAGAAACAGGCTGCAAAAACTGAGGATTGGGACAGATGAGCTAGAATTAGCTTTAACTCACAATTAAAACAAACATGGTTCAAATATAAATGTTTCCAAAAACTATGTTCAGCTAGGATAAATGGTCAAATCAGCTGTACTTGAAGAGAGAAACCAGTTTTGAAAAGGGTGCATCTTTGATCTAATCTCATAACCAATGAACTTTGGTAGCCAACAATGGCAAAGGGACACAACTCTGTGCAGTGAGTTGTTGTTCCCAAGATGACAGCTGTGACAAAAGACATGAGAACCAAAGCTTTTAGTTTTAAAAACGATGCCTTGACATTCCTGAAAGTTTTCAAAACTGATACAGGAGTGAAAAGGCAATTCAGTATATTTAGGGAACTGAATCGATCAAAACTGAAAGCAATACTTTTAGTTTTATATACACCTACTTGACATTACTGAAAGTTTTCAAAACTGATACAGGAGTGAAAAGGCAATTCAGTATATTTAGGGAACTGAATCGATCAAAACTGAAAGCAATACTTTGCTTGAACCAATACTTTGAGAAAGCATTGTTAGCGATAACGACAGTTGACTATTTGTAGAAAACTAACCACAAGCCTATCAAATAAGCAATGTTAGCATGTCATGGAGGAGTGTAAAAGTGTGCAACCATCTACTGTACAAGCATATCTGGTGGATAAGAGGCAATCTATTTATCGCTTCTGCCTTATAAACCTCAACATTTAAGTATCAATGACTAGTTTCTAATTTCCAGATATGGGAAGTGAAAAAGAAATCTACTAACCATATCAACATAGCATGGGACGCCATGACCATTTAAAACCTGCAGCATGCCAATTATGCACTAACTCCACTCACATAACAGAACATTACAATCATGTACACCACAAGCATAAAACTGCTTCAAAAATACTTTATATCCATATATTAGTAGTAAGTTATGAGACATTTCTGTACATTACATCCATATGACACATTTGGTTCAGATTAACAAAAGGGCAAACCATTTCAGTTGTACGCGAAAAAATCGACTCCATTAGAATTTTCTGACTTCTATAAAAACAATACAAATCAAGCAATGATCAGACTAAACTATCAGTTCAAATTTAATAAATGCTGTTAATATATAGTTGGTAACACTCTGTGTCATACAATTATGATTTAGCCTAGCAAACACTTTATATACGAGGCCTTTCCATTTCTGTTCAACAAGAAGGACCCATTCGATATTAATTAATCCTTCCAACGTGTCATGTTCTTTATATAATCATAACTACCTACTTGGCATCAAAATATATGTAGGATTAAATAGGGATTCCATTATTCATTACTTGGTAAAGGCCACAGCCTCAACATTTTGCAAGTAAGGTGAATAAATTATGCTTTGTTTGTGTTTGGAAAAGTATAGATTAAGAAATGCTTTATTTGTCATTTTAAAAGCCCAAGCATGAATACATTCTGCCCATGATGACAGTTCATTGAAGATAAAGTTTTGTGCAAGTGTATGTTGCCAGATCTGACTAAAATTTGATGCAAGTCTGGATCTACAAAAATGGCGACCATGACGGAGTTTTGCAAAAAGCAGAAGCAGTCGGCCATCATGGAAATTTTGCATCTCAAAAGACTGGACGAAATTGACAAGCTCAGTGAGCCATGATCAAACGTTTGGGTGTAGTACTACTGCATTCCTCTCATATGCCTTGCAATCTTTCGATATCATTAACTCAGTGGGAATTATTCCCATCATAGAAGGTTAGGAACAAATAACCGGTTCGGTTTTCGACAATAAAAATGGCGGCGGCGACCTTCGGGATCGACCTGTCAGATAGAAAAGTGATGATCATAATATACCCCAAATATATTATATCATCTGAGGGAAAACATTTCTAACATACAGAATGTATGCACACATCCTTTTGAGGGGGTTGTCAAAAGAAAATGTAACTAAACTACGACATGACTCATGCAGACTTCAAATAGTCCGCGATAATCATGTCAAAACAGAACACCAAAAACGTACCGTGTATGGTTCTGTATCCAAAATGCAACACCAACAACAAATAAGTCAACACTTGATGAAGTCATACAATGCTAAAATTGTCTGGATAACGTCTAAAATTGCAGCAAAAACAATGAAAACATCCAATGTTTTGATACATAAAAGAGTCTATACAGTTGGTCCGGTTTGTTTATACCGGTCACAGGGCATAAAATACACATTTAACGTGTCAACATTCCATATTCGAAAACTTTGGACACATAATCCGTAAGAATGCACGTTTTCTGTGTATCCAGAATTGCACTCTGTCCCATTGGAGCGAGTGACATGCCGTAAACACAGCCATATCTTCGTTTGTTTCTTCACCGTCCATTTTCCATCATGGCGGCCATGAAATGTCAATTTCTGCGGGGATTACAATTTGAGTACGAGCGGGCACCTCTTTCGACATGACGTAGGTCGGGATAAAAATATTGCAATACTTTTATACTTATACATTACAGATGTTTTTACTACATCTAAAAACTACATAAACTTAACTTAAATGTAAAAAAGTATACATTTCTATATTTTGTAAAATCGTTCGTTTCCGTCGTCTGCTAGCAAGTGCGCATGCCCGATTGATGAGACTAGGGACTTGACAGCAGTAGGGCATCTGTCAACTTAGAATTTCAATGTTTACGGAACAATCTTACCATTGCGGGCCCTGAAAACGTGATAGTTTGTTTCTACTATGCTCGACCCATCGTCTAGCGAAGAGGAGTCTGACAATGAGACCCTCGAAGATGAAAATTCAGACGTTCTCAGCCTACCCAGTGCTGAACAGAGAAGCCTGTCAGCTAGTGGGGATAACCTGAGTGTGATGGGGGGGCATTCAAGATCTAATAGCATACGTCCGTCAAGTCCCAGTCCTTCACTCATCAGTGATAGAGAGAAAGCTGTAGAAGATGCAGAGAAAATCGAAAAGGAGGAAGAAGAGAGAAAGAAGAGGTTACAACTGTATGTGTTTGTAATGAGATGTATAGCCTATCCTTTTAATGCAAAGCAACCAACTGATATGGCAAGAAGACAAACTAAAGTAACAAAACAACAGCTACAAACTATAAAAGAACGCTTCCATGCATTTCTCAGTGGTGAAACAAGTATTGTCGCTGATGAGGCCTTTACAAATGCAGTCCAGAGCTATTATGAAGTGTTTTTGAAAAGTGATCGTGTAGCAAACATGGTTAGAAGTGGTGGATGCTCAGCTAATGATTTCCGTGAAGTTTTCAAAAACAACATTGAAAAAAGAGTACGCAGCTTGCCAGAGATAGATGGTTTAAGTAAGGAAACAGTGTTGAGTTCTTGGATGGCAAAATTTGATGCAATATACCGCGGTGAGGAGGATCCAAGAAAGCAACCACAACGCATGGCCACTGCTGCTTCAGAGCTCATCCTCAGCAAAGAACAGTTATATGAAATGTTTCAAAATATCTTGGGAGTGAAAAAATACGAGCATCAAATTTTATATAATGCTTGTCAGGTAAGTGTATTATTAAAATTTGTTATTTCAGTGTTAGATATTAAGGATGAAAGTCAAGGGTGACCTGTGTTCACTCTATTATTAAAATATCATTAAAAGATTTTCACTATGAAGGAAATCTTAAGCCCCAGGACCTTCTGTACATTTAGCTAATAACGAGGCCTTATACTTGTGCCCACACACATATCTTTTTATTTGATTTCTGCCTTAATTGGTTCTACCGCGGACATGTCATTTTAACTCTGTGTTTATTTGCAGTGTCTTTTAATTAACTTCAGTAGTGATCCATTTCAATTTGGAGATTGGACTTTAAAAGTCGGACAGTTATTAGAAATGCTGATATCATGTTCGTATATTGGATCTCATTACAATTCCCTGAGCATGTTACAAGCAAGACCGCTTGACCCAATCTACAATATCAGCTGTTTGTCTTTAGAAAGTAAAGAATACAACATGAAGGCTGGTGGTTCAGGTCGATGATTGAGTCCTCACCAGATTTCTGTTCCCATTCAAAAAGAAATAATCAACAGTGCTTCCCAAATAACACTAGGCTGCTGGACCACCATTCCACCAATCTACTAGACTGCTGAAATAAAGTGTTTTTATATCCCAACAGGGTTTTACATTGACTGATTTTTATCAATTATGTCCTAAATGTTCTTTTTTTTTTAATTAAAATTGTGATGAAGACTGTCAATCAAAAATTGATAATGTCATGAAAATGTCCTATTGATGTTTGTCTGAACCATAATCACTGCCCAATACAAATCTATATAGTAGCAATGTAATATGGTCTCAGTGAAGGGATTTGTACACCATGATGATGACAGTAACTGATCCCAAATATTTATGTTTTACAGGTATTCTAATATCTTGGAAGTCATGATAATGTTATTGACTTGTATTCTTATATATTGGGAGTTATGATAATTTTTATTGACCAAGCAAAACCCTGTTGTAGTGTTAGGTTTTATATCTCTTCTCATATAATGCAGAAGTTCTGTGACAGATTTCTTTTATCATGTATATTATTTCCCAGAAATAAATGATGAACAGATATTAATACCCATATGTTTCACTGATATGACCCCAAAGAATTTAGTTCTCTGTGTTATAAACACCTATATTAAGTTACCTAATAAAAACCTTATTAATGGGACAGAAAGATTTGGAATATTCACTTAAATTTAAGGACGACCATTACCAGTAACTTATATATATGATATTGGGATATTTTAATGGTTTTCTCAGAAAGCTGTTGTTGTAGTAGGATTGTATTTCACTGATGTATGAGAGTGGTGACATGAACACGGCTCTCAGCGCCAGGTGCTGTTGACAGGTGGCAATGTTGTTGTGACTCCAATATCTGCCACACAAGCACTTTTGAGCTGTGCAAATATTAATTCAGATTGGTTGGGGATGATGTTGCCAAGTTTTCTTTTTGCCAGTATAGAGATGAATACAGTAATTAATGTAGTTTATTCTTCATTGTGAATAATATTGTTTACTTACCTTTTCATTGTACTTAACTTTTAAGTGTGTCAAAATCGTTGATGCAAGCTAAGCACAAAAGAAATAGAATTACCAGTTCCAATGTGCAACTGGTGTCCATTTTGAGTGTAGAAAGATAAATATTAACTGCCTAAAATGAATAGTGGGCTGTCCAAACTTGTCTTTCAGAATCTTTTTCAGCAGATTTCCATCAATGACTGCAGGCTTATGGAATTTACGGTGCTCTGGCTTAAACTCGTGGCAAAGTCACCACATGACCAAGTTACCAAACCCTACCTAAGTTTTAGCCCTACACACTACATTCCTTGGTTTTCCAACCATTATTTTTCACTGTTGTACTTAGCACACATTAACGTTTTTGTACCTTCAGTAAAGATTTGTAACAGAACATCCAAGTCAGAATGAATATTAAGTAATTTTGACCATGTCGACATCCTCAGAAAGGAAATATATTTTTTATATTTCTGTCTTTTATTTTCCGCAGTGATAGTGCAGGAGTAGTTTTCAGCTGCAGCAAAATTGTTTTTGTTTTGAACCTCGTGACCTATTGTTTTATGTTAGGGCAGGCTTGTGACAAGGTCCCCTTCATGCATGCGTAACTTGAAACAGTGCATTAAAACAGAGTTGGAACAAAACACTAGATTGGTTTGTTCTGCCCTACGGAACGTGACTGTCATGAGTTAAAGGTACCTGATATGCTTCTTGACTATTTCATGTCGGGAGTCCAGTTAGTTTTTCTTTCGCCTCCCTTTTTGGGGTGATTTGTGTTAACATTAGAACTTTGAAATAGACACATTTGATTGCAATTGCACTGAAATGCAATTTATCCAGATTTTGATACTCACATGGACTCGTATTGAAAACTGATACTGAATCCTGAAGAACCAAGTTATCAATGTGTTACTTGAAATCATGGAAATAGAATATGTTCCTTACATCTGTTGATGAAATTGAAAAAGTATTGATTTGTATGTGTAGAGGAGAACATGTTTTTAGGAAATTTAAGATGAAGATAAACTGTAAGGTTCTTGCTTACAGGATCATTTGAGTCATGACCGCTCTTTTTAAATGATGAATATCTAAGACCTGCATCACTTTGGGCTTTCCTCCCACATCAACCTGATACACCGTGATATACCTTGAATACTGTACAAGCGGCGTTGAACCTAACTGAATGACGGACTCATTCACTCATTGCTACTTTTAGTGAGTTGCACAAGTTTAATTTTTATTCTACAAGATACTTTTGATGACTGAAAATAAACTGGTAGTCATAAAAATATGTCAAGTGTGACATTTTGAAAATATGATTAGGAATATTCTGAATGTAACAAGCATCAAATACACAAGAATCCTGTCTCATATCAAACCCTGATATTTTTTTCCGGTAGAGGGTTTGTTACTGAGTCTTGAATGTTGAAAGAATACAAACTGTTTACAATTTTTGACTCAGAAACTCCACAAATGAGTTTTATTTAGCAAAACTGTTTCAGCAAAAGAAACGTCACATGTTGAATTATTGCTTGTTGTATGTCCTGGAGTTGGCTACATGGGATGATTGGAGTTGTCTCCCATTAATCATACCTTGCCCATCCTCTCAGTTGCTTTGGTTTCCCCGAGTGCCTGCGAGACAGTGGTATGGTAATATGGCCAATCAAACTTTGATTAACCGTGGCAGGCGGTCCCATGTTATTTCTAAAAATACAAGTGTTACTGCAGCCTTGATCAATAGTCAAGGAAGCTGTTCTAACCTGATCAACTGCATTCAAATGCATCACAGTGCACAAACGAATTCAGGACTATTTCCCATGCATTCTTAAAGAATGTTTTGTCACAAGCAGCAACAGAATAAGTGTAATTGATTTTGGCAGAGAGTTTGTCTCTACTCTATAACTCAAGAGGCCCTGAGGTCGGAAAGATTAAGTCATGTAGGATGCCTTAAATAGGCTTTTCTTGAACCTTAACTTACAGACAAAGCTGCTGAAATGGGTCAATTCATTAAACATGTCATGGGTTTCAATATGTGTATGCGACCTACAAAACATCCCAATGGGTAATGAGTATGATAATAGCAATTATGTGTGTGATTTTTACTATTTGATAAAATCATAGTAGATAGATCAAGCCTTTGTTTTTGTTGCTGATCCATTTTGTCATCAAAAGTGGGGGGAAATACATTCAAATTCACTTCTATTTTATTTCTTTTGACAGGTCACACATTCAAATATATTTTTTTGTCTTTTTTTGTTAAAAAAAAGAAAGATCAAAATTACTTTGCAAGTCTCATGCTCAATTTGACCTTCATTTTCCCAGTGGTAGAAACTAATATTTTTAGTCCACTAGTCCTTACAATGATAACATATAGCAATACCCTTAAAAATTGCAAATTTCTACTACCGTATTCGACGTAATAAGCACCCCGCTCTAATCATGCTAATAAGCGCCCACGGCATTATTTGCTAATATATTGGCTGGTGAACAATCCCAGTTCGCACCCTTTCCGACTGATCAGTGTACACAAGACTTATTTATTCGTGTATAATACGCACTCGTTTGTTATATGCACCCTTAATTATGGGCAATTAAATTCTTGAAAATATATCTATCGTGTATAATACACACAGATTCTTCTTTTATATCTTTTCAGCTGACAGCATAAACCACAAAATTTACAATCTTTCAACCTCGTTTTTAATCTCACCAAAATTATATTCTAATAAGAGCCCCCTATTTCTAATTTTGAGAGCGCCCTGGGCGCTTATAACGTCGAATACAGTAGTCCTTATGATACCTTAACTATTGGGCAGTTTGGCCAGGACTACAGGACTAGTGCCAATTTCTAACGCTGATTTTCCTCTAAACGATAAGTTGATTCCGTGCTTCCTAAATCTGTCTAACAGGATCGGGTGGTCAGGCTCGCTGACTTGGTTGATGAATGTCATCATATTCCAATTGTGTGGATCGATGTTCATGATATCAATCACTGGATTGTCTGGTCCAGACTCCATGTTTACAGATCACCGTCATATAGTTGTAATATTGCTGAGTGCGGCGTAAAACAACAAACAAACAAACAAACAAAAAAGATTTTGCAGGAAAAAAACCTCAAAAGTCTTTTGAGCAGATATTTCACAACTTGGATGTTTCAAAGGTACTTAAATTGAGGCTGATGTGATTTATGATCTTTTATTCTGTAAACAAAGAAATAAAATAAAATGAACATTTAGTTTATGGGACTGCTTGATATTTTTGCTTAATCTCGAAAAGTGTCAACCACTTTGGTAAGAGAAAATCCAACTTGCAGCTGTATGGCAATGGTAATTGTGAACAACTTTGGATTTTATTATGAAATGACGATTCATTAAACGTTTTTCAGCATGATAAGCTTGTGAAGATCCACTACTTCGTGATAAGTCCGCAGCTCCAAATATATCATGGGTAGGATGAAATTGTTATATTACCCTCCAATGTTACAGTTGATATCAGGG